TGCTAGCAGCTGCCCGGGGCCTCCTAGCATCTTCAGGTCTTGATTTCGGACACGTTGGCAGGGTATCGACGAGCTGTAACGCTGTAGTCTCCAGATCTCATTGCTGCTGAGCAAACCGCGCTGTCTTACCCGTGGCCCCTCCTCCGGCCGCGGCTCTGTAGATACCACCTTGGGAACAGGATCTGCCCACGACACACAGACCAGACTCCTCGCCGTGGGGAGTGGCTCCCTCCTCTCTCCGGTTCACTCTCCACTGACGCCTGCATGTCGCATCTGAAACCCCCCCAGGTCGGACCCTCCTCCCGTGAGGTGGCGGTCTCCACTCCCTCCCCTGGGCATCCTCACCACTTTCGTTTTGGTTGAAATTTGGGGTTTATTTATTTGAAATCCAGACTCCCTTGGGAACTGGGGGGTGCCTGTGTGCGCCTCCCTGGGTGTGCATTTCAGAGGGCGGCGGCCATCCTCCTCCCCTGGCGTATTGCAAGTGTATTCCTATGCACAGAGCGTCTCTGGGTCAGTTATTCATGAAGGAGAAGTTACCCAACAGAGATGACTTAAAACTGACCCGCTCTCCTCCCGGATGGAGCCCTTCCCGAGTCCAGCCGAGCAGAAATGAGTCACTGCTCCCAAGGTCACGACAAGGACCAGTGCCCGCGCGGCATTTGGGGAGCGTCACCCCGAGGGTTTCCTGGGCGGGAGTGTCACAACCAGGCCTGACCCCAGTGCCAGCGCATCAGGCCTCTGGGCAGGAAGGAAGCTTTGTCCGGCAGCCGGTGTGGAGACGGCGCCTTGGGACCCGCCCTGACGGGAAAGCGTGGCTGTTGTGTGACTTGCAGTGCCGGTGCCGTCTGTGTGACGCTCTCCACCTTTGTTTTGAGTTTTGCTGTGTGATCAGAAAACCTGAATCCTGTGAGAAGAAGTGCATTTTCAGTTGACGAATCAGCATCTTGTTCCCATGGCGATAACCCTAATTGACTATATCTATGAGGCATGTACCAGTTAATGGGGAAAGTACACCACTAACCACACATAGCTGCAGACCGTGTACATGGCTGATTAACCTAAATAAATCGTACAAGTGTCCGCATGCCGCAGCGACGTATCATCTTCACCCCGAGCTCTGGCTTCGGGAGAGAAGCCGTGGCCTGTGAGGCAGGCGAGGGAGGGAGAGAGAAACATGAATGAGGGAGAGTCACGGACCGGCTGCCTCCTGCTCGCCCCACAGTGGGGATAGAGCCTGCCACCCGGGCACGTGCCGCCCGGAACCGAACCCTGACCTCCTGGCTCCTAGGTCGACCCTCAGCCCCTGAGCCGTGCCGGCCGGGCTTTGCTGCTGTTTTTATCTCAACTGCGTGTGCCGTTGCCCAGAGCGGCTAAGCCGGGAATCGGGCCCTGCCCAGAGCTCTGTGGGCTGGTTACACAAAAGGAAACAAGCAAGGGCTTCGTGTGGGGACCCTGGTGACAGAAATCGGATTGGGGGCTGGGGCTGCAGGTGGGCCAGCTCTGTCCCGAGGCCTGGGTCTCAGGACACGCCTCCCTGTGCCCCTGTTTCTCCATCTTTCAAGTCTGGCTACAAAGAACCTAGAAACTTGATGTAGAGAAACTGCAGGGCCCGGCAAAGCAGAGGTCACGGAAACCCGGCCGGGAGCCCGGGCCCTGATTCTCGGGGGGATGGCCAGGCAGGTGTGTGGGGTGTCCGGGCGGGCGGGCGTGCAGGTGCCGTTTGGGGTAAATACCGACCTGCCAGACCCGGCTCGCTCATTGGAGCAGAAAAGCAAGAAAGCTGCCCGGCTGCCTGTGCGCCCTGTGCGGGTGGTGGCCCCGGGGAGCCGGGCGTGAGGGGAGCACAGGGACCTGGAGTTCCTGAGCCCTCGGGGCAGTGGCTGCAGGGCCCGGAGAGGGGATGGGTCTCCTTGTCCCTGACCAGCCAGCCCCTCCCTCCGCACCTGGTCTCTGGGAGGCACCTGAGGAGAGGCCTGGGCAGGAGACCGGTCCCTACCCCTGACCTCGGGGAGGGGGGCAGGGGCTGGAGGGAGACCCGTTCCCACCCCTGACCTCGGGGAGGGGGGCAGGGCTGGAGGGAGACCCGTCCCCACCCCTGACCTCGGGGAGGGGGGCAGGGGTTGGAGGGGGTCCATCCCCAGCGCCCAGTGGGCTCATCAGTCCTGCCTGTGGGATGAGGCCCAGAACGGAGGGTGGACAGCTCGGGCTGGTGGCTGGGGGGCGGGGAGGACGGGGGGAGGGGAGCCCTGCCTTCCCCCGCCTGTCCCTGTGTGACGCCCGTTCCCAGGGAGCGTGGTGGGGAAGGTACATGTTTCTCTCGGTTCTGTGAGGGGTTCTAGCAAGTTCCTGGAGCCCACAGAGCGGGTTGCAGGGACCTGCCTCATGCCAGGTGGGCACACAGGCTGGGGACTGGCGTTCAAGGGACGAGCCCTCACCTGGGAGCCTGAGCTGATTAGAGGAAGCCCAGCTGGTGGGACACACACGCACACGCACACACACGTGCACACACACATACGGACACACACATACACACACGCGCGCACACACACATGCACGCGCGCGCACACACACTGGGATCCACAGCAAAACTCCCGCGGGGCCGCCGTCAGGGAGGAAGCCGTTCTAACGTGAGGAAACATGGGAACAGAAGGTGGTTTTGTTTAAACGGAAATCACTGGGAGTTAGCACAGAGGGGAGAGGAGAGGTCCCCACCCCTGACCGTTCCTGTGTCAGCCTGGCTGGGCCCAGGGACACGGCCGAGTGGGGACCCGGCCAGAGGGCAGGTGTGGGGAGGGCACGCCCACTTGGCAGCTCTGAACAGGACGCCTCCGGGGGACCGGGGGGTTCTGGGGCTCGGACCCCGTGGCAGGTTTGGGGAGCGGGTTCTGCCTGGGGGTGTTGCCTCCGGAGTCTGAAGAATGAGCTGGTTAGTGAAAGGGCGGGAATGTGGAAGCAAATACCAGCTCCCACGCGGGGAGGGGCTCCCAAGGGGTCGCCACGGCGCCCGGGAGGTTTTCAAGGTGCAAGTTCGTGGTCTACGCGCCCCTCATGGCTCCCCCCACCCCCGTATGGCCCGTGCTGACCCGTCACGCTTTCGCAGGGATCAGCTTCAGAGTCCAACCCACCTGGTGCCCCTTCTCTCTCCCTTATCTCCTGCCTCCCCGTCCTCT